TGAATGAATGTAAATACAAATGGAATCATTGCAACAATAATTTACCATTAGTACATATTGTATTTTAGCACAAAAGAACTATTTGCACAAAATTAATAATATTATGTAAAATTTCTAAGTAAAATCTATGCAGCAATAAAAATATGTAATTGTCAGATGTGATTATTTTCTCAYGAGTGAAAATGGGAGTGGTTTTGGTTTGTGGTAGGTAGTGGTGTCTTGTTTCTGGRATGGAAATGGGAACATCAACATGTTTGGGAGTTGCACTGGTCTATTTTCCACGTTATAATTTAACAGCAAATTTTCCTCTGCTCTCATTGGTGGATAGTAAACCACATGACGTGATACTGCCTGCCGTGGATGGGTACTATCAGTAATTTGAGAATGCTGCTTCAGAAAAATTTGTTGTTGAACAATGAAAACAATAAAGCAGTTTTTACAATAGACCAGTCGAACTGCATTCTCRGGCGACTGTTTTTGGGAACATCAAGTTTCTGCAGGCATCTATCACAGAATAATAGCCTCAAGCTACTGTATTGTTTAATTGGGACATCAAGTAAGGGTGTAAAAGACTTGAGGTCTTGACATTCAAGTAACTCTCATTCTCATTGAYCCTAAATGATAAATGCAATGCATTGCCTTTGCACAATTGATTTTATTTTCAAACATAAAGTTGAGCTTTCAGCTCCTTTTGAGCTCCTTTTTGTGTTCCACATGCATTTCTACYTTGTTTAAACATTTCAAAAATGTGAACAAAATATAAGCATTTTACAAGCAYTTCTGACAATAAAAGTTGCAGTGAATCCTTTGGATGATCATAATTTTTTTCTTGATTCCTCTGTCTATTTAAGACAGTTTAATAGTGCTAAGGGTTTAACACCCTAAACATCACATAGTGCAACCACTGTGAAGTGAACCTCGTCTGGGTCTCTTTTCATAAACTCTTGACAAACTCTTGCACCATCCTGTGGACAAATCAGGAAATCTGTTCATTGACTGTTCTTCATTAGACGTCAGCTGATGCAAAATTATTACTATTAAATGCATTAACTATAGTACTAGTGACATCAGTTCTAGTTAAATTTAAATAATGTATTGGGTGGATCCCAGGGGGGRTTGCCAGGGGGGCAATTACCCTCCTTTTGTGAAAGTTTGCCTTAATACATATAATTAAAAGTACATATGAATGACAAACAGACCAACCAACAGTAAACTTAACAAATGCCTTCCCCCCTGGCTGAAAATTTCTGGGTCCGCCCGTAAATATTACATCAAAACCAGAATAAAATGAAAGGAGCTTATTTTGAGATGCTAGACAGTAGACTTATACAACTGCCACCCTTTTTACTCAGTAATAATAGTTTGTCTAGACATTTTTATTGAGAGAGGACCACAGGTGGACCTGGAGAACAGCCCTTTGCGGCTTTGAGACAATGGTTTACAAATTTAACTATATAGTGGTGTGGTGACGATCCTGCAAATGTTCATCCATCCTCTTTCTCTATGCATAACTCTAATAAAATAACATTACAATACCTTAAGAAAAGACTCATCAGTTGTCTTGCCATGATTTATGGGAAAATCCTTTCTGCCATCTGCCATTATTAAAAGTAAATTATTTCTGTTGTAATAATTATAAATAAATATTCTTTAAATATTGAACTTGATTCATTGTAAGAATAACTACTGCTGAAGTGGATGCAGTGTAAACAGTATCAAATAAACAGAAACCGAAGGATTTTTAATATATTAAAAACAATTCAAAACACCTAGAATTTTGTACTTCTTCTGTTTTGTTGATTGCTGCATTTACATTTGATTTAATAAGTATTTCACCAACTATGAAGCAAAAATTTGAAAATATAAATAAATTACTATTGCTTACCTAACTCATACAAATGACCATCCTTGTGAACTAAAGCCACAAAATGTAAATCCACTTTATCATCAACTGATGGTGCCTAGAGATAATTTAAAACTAATCAAAATGTTTCACAACCATTTATGGATGACAACGATATCCAAGGATTTATTATATTTTACACAAAAGACAACGATATCCAAGGATTTTTTATTTTACACAAAAGACTCTGAAAAAAAATTTGTGATATTCATCCATTTGGCTAAGGAAAACAAAATTCTACCTCCATCAAATGCAGATATCTGACAAATTATATTTTATTCACCTGCATGGTGGAAAAGCACTGGGGACATTATTCAAGTGATACGCAGTTTGGGTGTTGCATTTTAACATTGAAAGAATCAAATAAAAGGTCATAAACCTACTTCCGTCTGTCCTTCTTGAGCACTAGCTTCGTGTGCAACACTGATACTCTACAAAGCAATTTTCATTTTGTTGTTAATTTGACCAGTTTTTATAGCATAAATTTCATTGAAATGTTCACCTCATCATTTTCAAGTTTCTCTGCTTTTTCATCAGGACTTAAACTCTTTGTTGAATCAATGAATTTCTTTAAAACTCCATCACCTGAAAAACACGAAAATATAAAACCACTCTAAAGGATTTACCATCTGGTATGCATGTCCACAAGACTAATAAGCCACATTCTTGCAGATTGCCAGGAACACTTTTTCTACTTACTAATATCAAGCTGAGGTATATTGTTTGCAATAGAATGAATAATGGCCACTGTACCACAGGCATTGCCCACTGTCTGCTTCATGTAATATATATTTGAGCTGACTTCCTAGTTTTAGAAAAATCAATATAATGGTAAAAAATAACATGGAAAAAGTAAATATATTTCACAAAATGTTAAGAAACAAAGATCCAGGAAATTTATCATCACATTAGGACACCAACAATATTTACCATCCATTGCAATGGACTATATAAGTAGAAGTTAGTGTTGTGTTTCCAAGTCAGTTATTGCCATCGTAAATGATTTATTGAATACTATAATACACCATACCTGGCCTTCCTTCTTGATCTTCTCAGTCTGTTCTGTTCTGTACTTCTCATACTGAGGACAAGAGTCACAATGTAAACGTTAATGTAGCCYTAATTAAATATTGTTTTGACTTTTCTTTTCAGAGTGGTTTCGATAAAATTTTACAGGCAGGTATTGGAAAAAATGACTGCATAMGAGTCCATCAGCACAAAAATTGATAATCGTTTTACTTCACTGTTACTGACCTTATCATTGCAAGGAAATAAGAGTARAAGAGCATAAACCGGTTGAGGAACCATACACAATAAGTCATCATCAAATCCAAAGACGTCTACAAATCCATGCTTTGTCTTGACACCAAGCTTTTCAATGAACTGTCATGAAAATTAATAATGAAATGTAAATTAATAAATAGAGATAAACAAATTTTTCCTGGAGATACAGAGAATGTGTTGCTTATCCAACTATCGCCACACTTAGCTTATTATTATTATGTATCTGGCTTGCCCACACTAAAAACATACTACAGTGAATATTTTTACACTACAAGAATCTTCTGGCTACATATTGGGAAGAAAATCAGAATAGCTGAAGAAAAACCCTCACAGTACAACGAGAGAGTTAAGATCAAAACTAAAATGTCCTAGCAAAAAATACAGAAATGCTTCTATATTTACAATTACAGAAACAAATTATATTTTAACCCTGAGTGACCTATYAGTGCATTTTCATTAAAAAAATGCAAAACATATTTTTGTTGTGTATATAGAATATTATTGCCTCTAGGCATAATTCAACACTGGATACCTTATGAGCAAAGTAATTATGAATTAGGAGACAAATGTTTTTACAATATCATGGTAGTCTGTCCAAATAAGGCTATGCAAAGGTGTTGGCTGTCYGTGAAAACTGCAAAGGCGTTGTTAGCTTATATTTTAGGCCAGAATTTATACTCTGAATGCACAAGATACGAATACTTAACTTTATAGTCTTTGTAAATCAGSTTTGTTGAGTAAACAGCTAAAAAGGTTCAACACGATAACCATTTGACATGCACTTAAATATTAAGTTTAGGTCTATTGCACCTAGAAACCACTAAGCTTGCATGTAGCTTTTCAATAGTAAAATAAGACTTTACAAGTGCACCAGTAMTGCAGTGCATGTAAACCGGTTTCAAAAATAATATTTAAGCTTATCACACACTWAACTAAAGAGATAGTACTAAAAGAGGAGCACGACACGATGAAAAACTCACCTGATTCATAACCTTTCAACAAGGAAGACGCAATCAGTTTGAATGAAGCCGGAAAGAAAAAAAGAAAAAAAATAAGATCAATGAACAAAATGTCATAATCACTAAAAAAACTTTGTACGGGAAAACTAAATGACATTTTATGTTTATCAGATACTTACATCAGGGTTGGACTCCAGRGGAAGCCATCGCGTAGCCATATTGTCTTGTTAAAATTTCGAAGATGGAAAATTACGGGAAAAACAAAATTTAGTGCAAGTGAACGAATGCAATGTGTACATGTGATAGATATGAGCCTTCGATACAAACTCACCAGCGGAAAAACCGATGCATCATGGGTAATTAGTAATTTTCAAGATGGCGGGCGTAAGTCTTGCACATTGCGGCAAGATCCGTTCATTTTCTCGTCTTTTATGCCAATATAATCCACATTTTAGAAATTGTCTCAATAATCAAGTAGAAAATAAGTACAAAAGTCTTGCTGTATTGTCCATACGTTCATTATGYTCTTCRGCGAGTCCAGATAATCAGTCAAAAAGTGARTCAGYGGTGGAGACGAGCAAAAGACCGTTCGATTTGACTTTTGAGGAATATCAGAAGCTGAAGAGGAAGATCAGATCGAGACAGAGAGTTGCTGGACTTCCAATAGCAGCTGTAGCATTGATGACATCATCAGCTGTCAGTGCTTATTTAAATCCTAATATGTTTGATGCCCCCCCTGACCAGATCCAGCCAATCATGTAAGCCATTGACGACTTCACAAATTTATGATAGTTTCTCGTGGTGTGTCTTCTTATTAACCACAGTTGGCGTCATCAAATTGTCAAAATTGTTGTCCATCCTTAGGCAAAATGTATAAGAGGAAATACCACAAGAAACTTTCATAATTTTTTTTGCCATAAAAATATTATGCAATTAGATAAAAACCCCAGAAAAAAAAAAGAACAATCTTGCGACAATGGTGTGTATTTTTATTTACCACGAATGTCAACCAATCAAAAACACTGCTGCATTCTGTGATTCTCACTCTATTCCCATATTCATCACCCTCGGTTAATAATAAATCAATTGATAGTAGAATGAATGTGTGATATATATATTTATTTTGGTTTCAGGGGAATGGATCCATTGATATTCTGTGGACTTTGTGGAGTTGCTAGTGCTGGTGTTGGATATRTAGCAGGGTCTGCTCTCTTTCGCTTGCTATGGAAAATATTGAATAAAGATGTTGCAGTAAAAATGGACATGGTGAGTTCACGCAAAATATACTCAAGGGTGTAGCATAGGACCATTGTCATTGCACATTTTAAGTCCTTCATTGTAGAGAGGATTGGGAATTTACCAAAACAAAGAGTCTAAAATCCTTARAATATGCTGTAAGAAAATTAAACTATTTCTTCATACAAAAAGTTTTCAAATAATAGACAGATGAGTACAAAGTGCATTTTTAAAAAGTGAATATTTTAATCATSAATTGACATGATTTTGGAGAATTCTTATATTTTCTGGCTAATATCATACTTAAACTCTATTATACAGCGGGAAGCTGATTTTTTAGAAAGAATTTCTTCAAAAAGGGCWGCATCTTTTAGCAAGTTTGAAGATGATTACTACGGAGAAAGCATCAAAACACTAAGTGACTATCGACAGTGGCTCAGGGAACAACAAAAGAAAAAACAAGTAGATGAAAAGTTTGCAAAATCTGAAAAAGAAGAAGAGAAAGGAGCTGCTCAAGTGAACTAACATTCTTACAGAAAATAATGTTGTAAATAAAGTGTTTATTCCAGTCTATTGGAAAAGTAAGAAATTAAAAAAGTCTGTTTTAGGTATTGTCTTGTGAAAGTCAATRATAGAAGCTAAATTATGACATTGATCACCCACCGCTTTTATTGTAGTTTCAAAGGAGAAATGTTTGATCAACAAGCACCACCAAATTGGATGACCARTACTGTTGGATCATCAAAATGATAAATTCTTGATGCTCATCCAGCCACATTCCATCAACCCCATGAAGCAGTACTGGATAAAACAGCAACTTGTTTTAAGGTGTTTTGGTGACCCATCATTTCTAGTTTATCCAGGCTTTTTTGTTTTAAACTACACCCTTATAGCTTTCTCTATATGGCTTGCATAGAAAGTCCAGCTTGCACGTCCAGCTTCTGATAACTTTTTACAATGATAATGAAGAGCATTATCAGAAGCTCYGGAACTGAAACAGCTGTCCAGGTGGCATTAAATCTTTTTTATAATATGTTTAAATGATAATGATATCTGTTTGGTTTTGTTCCTAATTGAAGACTTACTCTTGACCCATAAAATATGGAATCCAGAGCTTCCTGGATTCTTGATAAATTTCAAGCTCCTTGACTCCAGATTCCATGAAAAAATTTGCCAAGATTCTGATTCCATATTGAATTCAGAATGCAAAGCATCCTAGCTTTTATAGGAAAGATTTGAAGTAAGTAATTTGGATTTCTATTGCTTTGTTGAATTTTCCATTGCAGCAGCTTCCAGATTCTGTTTCTGGATTCCCGATTCCAGACCCAAACTTTTGCCAGATTCTGGATTCTGTATCATGGAGTGACATACCATGATGGTATGTTTTATGTATACAAGAGAATGTGAAGGGGGGGATGGGAGGTGAATGGGGTCACCCCTGGTTATATAACTGATTGTCACACCACCAAACTGCATTCTTTTTTATAGCATTTATTCTATTTTAATTCATTTATTCACCATCCTTAGGAACCCAGTTGTAATCTTCTGACATTTGTGCCTCACTCCCAGAAATACCTGAGTACCCAAGGATATAACACACTTAATGTTTTGAAAATCCACGGTGACTACAAGTCCTATAAGGCAGACTGCACTGAAATGCTATGAAAATCAGCAATGCATTTATTGTAGGAACAYGAATGAAGCTGTTTTATAACCTGCTGAGTCACTCAAAACAAAGGCAAGATAAGCATGTGATGGTTTCCCAGCTAAAAGTCAGTTGTGTTTTATTACTGTACAGTCAGTCAGTTTAGTAAGATTAGGGTTGATAAATAGACACCTTTTTCACAACTACCATTTTGAGTAAATGAAAGTGGAAATCCTATACTTATCTATAGTAGAAATCAAATGAAAGCAAAGTTTATCATCAGATAATACACTAAAATATTCTATAAGGAATACATTGACATACATGAGAGTTCACATGATAAAAAGAGTGAAGGACATTGACATCCAAGATCCRTCTGATCACCAATCTATAACAAATTCAATTCCAGATCCTGTTCTTTGCCAATAAGAGAATTTTAATATTGTTTTCACAAGTACACAATGGTTTATGCATGGACCCCATTCTATATGTAAAAACAGGTGAAGATCAAATGACGACAACTCCTGAATACAAATATAAATCAATGACAATTTCAGACATGCAAAGTTATTTTTTGCATGGTCGAGCACAGACTTAAGTCCTCAAGTAATGACATTAAGAATTCAAAGTGTCAGATTTTTTGAAATTTTGCTTTTAACTGCTGAAAGAAAAGACGATTACAGTCTCTAAGTGTGCTATTATACAAAAAAAGCATTTATATTTTTTTAAATCAAGTCAAATTTACAAGCATTGACCTTAAACCATTCAACCATAAAAAAGCCATGACATTTCCTCTGTAGTTGCAGGCACTTGGGACAATGAAATTAGGAAACTATGTTCTTTCAGAATATTGAAACAAACTCCATTTACAAAAATATTGCTTTCTTGATGTCTCACTTGAGGACTATATTTTGTAAAAATATTTTAACTGAACTAATAATGGCCAGATTGGAGCTGGTTGTATGAAGAGTGCATTATTATCTACTTTAACTTTTTATTTTAATTTTTAGAAAGCTTTATTTATCATTATTATATGTTAGTTTTCCATYGGATAAGGTATATCCAATCAATGTTGTATGGATTTATGCACTTCATACAAACACTCCTCACTTAACTAAGATTTTGCTCACTCCATTACTGCACACTAAAATGTTTCCAATGCTGGATCAAAAAACACACTGAAAACACATATTGCAAGGCAATGTAGTGACCAACTGTACATGTATCCTAGATTAGCTAACGTTCATGATTCATTGATATTTTCTGGATTTCAAATACAAGGAAAAAATGTCAGTTATCTACAAGTGCATATCCAGGATTTGTCATTGGGGGTCCTTGCATAAAAATTATCACTATCATTGTACTATGACATCAATATGATCTCATAGAAATCTATTGTTTTAAATGCAAAAGTATCAGTCGAGWGGGAAAAATGGGACTAGCTAATTAAATTAAGTCTAGAGGAAATTACTTCACACTGCATTAAAAGTCAGATTACTATTTATACATTTTTATATTAATTTTGCTTTAAAAGGGGGATCACAGACACCCTGTGACACCCTTCTAAGTACACCCCTGACTCATAACCATAACTTTTCTCATATTTGGATATCCAATGACACAAAAGTGTTGCAAATATTGTACAGTACTTTATAAAACACTTTTCATATTATGACACAAAATCATCCCAAGTAATCTTATGCTAATTATCTAAATTATGAAATATTGAAGCTAGAATTCCCACTACCATTGCCTTGGATTATTTCTTTATAATATACTATATGCTCAATCTATATTGCATTTTAAGTACCAATAGCACCTATGAACATTCTGACAGACYTAATACTACAAGGGGTATCAAATGGTAAAATCAGAGCCTCACKGAGCCTGTGAGCCCCTCATTTTAAAATCCGAACCCRAGCAATCCTTCTTTTAAGCTCCAAGCTTGCGAGCCTTGRGAAATTTGTAGGGAGTCTTACAATTTCTGAGACACCATTCTATACCCCTACTATAATGGTTGGTGAGGTTGATTTTTGTGTGCATGAAATATAAGAATATTTCTAAAATACTAAACCCTTTGACCATCAAAAAGCTAATGTAAGGCTTCTGAAGTACACACTGAAGAAAATGATTGAGTTGGTTCTGAAAGAATACTCTCAGGGGTTATTGGTACTTTGAGGAGTCCAAGCTGTTTCCCATGGTGGACATTAGTGAAATGATTCATTGGATATCAAATTTTTCAAATACATTGTCCTTTCTTGATTAATACATGTTATGTGAAGCAACAATCAGTTCTGCCAGCAAAAAAAAAACAAGTTGTAATATTCATTACAAAAAGAAATTAAACAAAATAGGTAAAAATTAAAAATTTGTATGACAGGTATAAGTAGAATAAAAAGAGAACTTTCTCTTTTTTTTTCAAGAATTGCATTGAACAAAGCAAACAAGAAACAAAAATATGAAATTATATTTGGTAAAGTTAAAGTGCATGGGAGAATTATAAACAAATTCTCTTTGTTATTCAAAGCAAACTACGAATATATAGAAATTAAATATTGCTGGCCAAATACTATCTCTTGAATTTCTAAATAAAGGAATGATATCTGTATATATACAAAATAAAGTACTYTGCTCAAAATGAACCCACAAGAGAAATTATCACAAAGTACTTTGGCCTCGACTTCTTCTGTCTGGTGCTTAGCAACTGAATACATATGTTGAAGTGCAGCACTGGCTGACTTGGGCTATAATCCACTTGATGATATCACAGCAAAATGAGTAGAATCTTACTGTGTATAACAACAGATTGCAGAATGATTGGCATCAAGATGTTGATTCAATGTCGTTTCATGTGTAATGACAAGTGATCAGACCGTGAGAAGCACCGGTCACAGTGGACACACTTGAAGGGCTTTGCCCCTGTGTGTTTTCTGTAGTGTCTAGTAAGTTCATCTGATCGTGCAAATCTCCATGTGCAACCTTCCCATGAGCACTTGTAAGGTTTCTCTCCTGTGTGCGTGCGTCGATGAGCTTTAAGGTGAGAACTTTTTGTATAGACTTTAGTGCATCCTTCATAATCGCATTTGTGAACACGTCTTCTTTTCATGACGTCTGATTTTCCTCTGAAAGTTGAAAATTAAGGATATTGTTAAAAATGGGAATTACTGCAACTTTTGGAATGATATGTGCTCTTTAAAATAATATATTAGCAGCAATTTAGTTTGTAAGAGCTACGTAACCTCAGTTGTGACTGGAAAGGTTTGACGTAAGGCTTTTTTAAATCACAAATCATATAATTCCAATTSACAAACATTCTTTAGGTAATTTGAAGACTCTTATTTCAAGTTATTGCTAGTTTTCAATCAGCACATTGAGATGTATTTTAAGATAAATAACTGGCAACCATGGTTGTGGTTTGGAAAATAGATACTAATAAAAAAATCCTTTGCCAATGGACTACCAACATGGCTGCCATGACACCAACTGAATACCAAGTTCCAGGTATTTCTGAAAGCTTTGTCAAGTTACCAACGTTATATATTATTTTATTTGGTCTTTCTTATTAAACTTACTCTGAAGATCTTCTTGCATCTTTTACCATTGTAGGGCTGTCTCCACTATATGAAAACAATTAGAAAACATTAATATAGAGAGATAAGAAATATTGAGAAAATATCAATACACCTATCAAAGTCTTGACTATCAAAGCATCCTATTTAGCTCTTCAAGGAATCAGTAAAAAAATTACACTTCCACTACAAAGATGCTATCAATAGATCGAATATAGAGAGATAAGAAATATTGAGAAAACATCAATACACCTATCAAAGTCTTGACTATCAAAGCATCATATTTAGCTCTTCAAGGAATCAGTAAAAACATTACACTTCCACTACAAAGATGCTATCAATAGATCAAAACTTTTCCTGTTTTTCAGACCAAAATATAACATTATAATAGTATCAAACACAAAGCATTCAGCTGATACTTATAGAGATATGCTTATAATGCTAAAYTGAAGTTGAGTGACYRGAGGTATTTMAAAAAGGTTGTCRAAGTKATTTGGATTGGTGTGATGCCTGGGCCAGACCAAAAGGTAATGGTGGGTACTGATTGATTAAGGCTTGTATTCAGTTATCTGAAAAAATCATCTAAGATCCTCAATAGAAACTACATCTTTTTTTGACGGCTGAATCTTACATTAATCACCCACAATTTCCTAATCCATTYTCCATGCTTAATCCCAACAACCTTTTTAAAATGGCTTTAAATAAGAAACATACTCATCTGATAACACATTTGGTGAGTGTGTAGGAAGATACTCGTCATCTGGCTGTAACAAATATTCATCTTTTACATGTATGTGATCTCCTGGTGATACAATAACAGTTGTTGGACTGTCGGTTCCATTACAGCGCCCGCTGTTTGCATAACGGATTGGAGATTCTGCTTTTTGCTAACAAAAAAGGAAAGATTACAGGAAAGTAAGTCAATGAGTGAATGAGGGACAGATTTTCTTGACCTTAAATAACTCTTAAACTGAAAACACACTAGACAATTTTGTGAGTAGWAAATYTCCATCACCAGCCAAATTTGWTCTACAATATCTGATATGTCTAGAKTTTGAATGCTGCTATTGTTATTAATGCTTAGAAAATTTATTACTGTGGCAGCACACAGACCTRGCCACTGAAAATTGAGGAATTTGTTTGAATTTTCTTCATTAGTATATATCAAGTAATGTTTTATTAAGAGCATCTTTTAGTAGAAAAACATGTTTATATCCAAAAAAATGTATTAAATGTTTGTTTCTCTTTATTTTCATATTTAATATTGAAATACTTATATCTCAGAAAATAAACATCCTGATTTAAAAATAAATCTGAGATATGTTACTTCAAGTTAAGAAGAAATGATTCAATAGCGGTTCTACACAGGGGTGATATGAAACTTGAATCTTTTATTCTGAGAAACAATGTTTATATTCACTGGACAGAATGAAATTCCAGTTCCTTAACCTTCAATATATCACATTGACTCACTCAAGGTCATTGCAAACATGACATCTTTTAAAAAGACAAGTTCAAGGGCTCTCTTGTGATATGAATGTTTCATTTTTGTTCATAACAACAAATTTAGAAGAAATGTCATATTTGAGCCTTCAAATATTTGAGGCTAACAAATAGAAAGGAGRAACAACTCCYTTCTGCAAGACTGAACTGCTGRCATCCTTAACTATCCAGGAAAATCACACAACTGTGGAATCAGGACTTGTTAACTTTCCCCTTGGCCTTTGGACCCTRAACTTGAATCRTGCTATTTTTAAAACTGTGAGAAACAACCCTCAGTCGAGTGGCATGTGAAAGGAATTTAGAAAACCATAATAAAAATAGGCAGATTATTGATAAGTTATTAAACAATTTAGTTATTAATTCATCTTTTACTAATTGGGTAATGACATTTTTACTATACCTGATAATCATCYTCATCAGCGGGCACTACCCTTATTACTGTAGTTCTTTGGACGTGTCCTTCTGGATCAAGCTATTCCACAAGAGAAAAAAAAGACGTTTAATTAAAACGTAATTTCATGTTTTTATATAGTATTATTTCAAACTGTGTACGTAAAATAGTGCTAAGCCAATAAGTTTCTGCCAACACATTCAAAARGTAGATCAAAATGGAAGTGATCACTTTTTTAAAATTCTCTAACTAAATGCTCATAGCTGTAAAATTATACTATARATATTATTTTACAATCAAAATTCATGTGAATTAATTCACCTTCAAGGGTTAAGGCTGCATATAATACAATGACTATAATTATAAAAACATTATTATTGTTATGATTAAATGTGTTAACGAATACATTTTTATCACAACTTTATCAATAGAGAAACATTTATGGATTGGCAGAGGTTTTATATTCTACAAAATTACATGAGAATATAAGAGAAAGCCGCTTATGCTCTTAATATACCTGTATAACRTGAGGCTGTGAATAACAACTTTCTAAAGCATCCCTGGTGCTGAGAGACAAAGGAAAACATTATTACTAACAATTTAAAATMRTTTTTGTCATTCAACTGAATAAAAAAGTGATCTAACTCTCAAAATCAAGAAACCTGAGGCCAGTTATACAAAGGGTGTACATGTACCTAAATYCACTGGATAAACCCTTATCCAGCAGATAAAATCCAAACAAAATCTATAGAGTGGATAGCTTTATTGGGTGCTTTATCCATCCTCCATATCACCGGTCCCAGATATATTATTCCTGCTACATTACCTACACTTAACATAATAGTAGTTGCTTGAATTAGATAAACTCATGTAGTATGCAATGAAAAATCTACATGTTGATGTTCATTTGAACTTGCATTACTAATAATGGACAAGAAGATTTGTCTAACTTCATCATTAAGAAAGTAAAACGTTTCTACAATACAAGATAAAGTTTCTAGGAGAGTTGTGGAAAAGAAAGGTGTGTCATACTTTTTTCTACCATCACAGAAGCAGCTGTTACCAACAAAGATGTGATTATTATAATCCATGTTGCTTTGACAGTTCTGACAAATTGTGATATTCAAGAATATGCTTGGATCAAATTTAAATAGCAAAAATAGAGAGAGAGAGAGAGAGAGAGTTTATTGGTAAGAAAAACATTTRTTTTGATAATATTAGCTGTTAGGCAAAACTTGTTTCACTTTAGCCAAAACTATAGGTGGGGCCAATGGGCCTGGCTTTTGTATCTTTTGAAGAAGAAAAACAGATGAATTTCCCCAAAACATTCCCTTTAGCTCCACTAATATGAAAACAGTTAAAAGTGATAAGTCCTATAACTTACTAATAAAATTGCATCTATAGAACAAATTATGTCAAATTTGTGAAATACTGCTATTAAGTTGAACTTTGTTTTATTTCAGAACAAAATAGAAACGTTSAGTTAATGTATGCCATGGTGATTAAAATCTAAGATTTTCATAGTATTTGATGAAAAGAAGAGAAAATATGGGTTTTACAAAAACTGACAATAAACAGGAAAATTTCATGACGTTACTTAGTATTTTATATTGGAATCCTTGTGAAATAAGACAGGCTTGGTCTAATGTTTTACCAGAAAAAATTCGCACAATTCATAGATCCCTACAAAACGATAATGCAAAATTCATGGCCGAACAAGACAAAGGAAATAAAGTAAACAGAACGCGCCGGAAGCTCACTTTTGGATAAAGAAACGAACGATTCTACATTAAAACTATTAGGGGAAAAAACACTTAAAAACCCAGTAAAAACATTATGAATTTCAACAAATCATCACAGAATATTAAATTTCTAGAACTAAAATAATATTCTATAAGTATTAGTAGGAGATTCAGCGATTATAGRCAAATTCAAATGAGTTGTTCTAGGTTATTTTCTAACAGGAAGCAGTTGAGTTTAATCGAGTCGAACATCATCTCTGAATATGTCCCTCTCTTCGCCCAAAAAAATATATTTAAAATATGAACTAAACCAGCCAATGAAACCGAATTGAATAATTACATTAAATTCAAAGGTGATAGTCACAAAAATCTGGAGAGGTAACATTGTAGAAAGTACATTTATAATTTAGAAAAAGACGACCTTGTTGGGTCAGGTACTAGGAGGTAGTAGTCCCCTCGCCTATACAACAACGAGACATCGCCATCATCACTTGGTGCAAACAAAACTAATAATTTAGAACCAGATCATTGAAATTTTAGTTTATCTGATGGTTTTTGAACCGATAAAAAGTTGTACAATAAATCTGTAAGGATCTACCAGGCACCATGAAATATTCGTTGGTATTTTCGAGTCGATTTTTCTAAAATATCTGCATGATAAAAATAACATTGCGTCGTGTTTACAACTACGACGAAGATGCTCAACACTGCTAGGCACTTATGAGACACAGAATACTTTGAATTTTTTTCGTGGTATGTTATGAAAATGATCGACAATAATTCTAAAGTTGGATCTAAAGACAACACTACAATATGACGATGTCTTGGAACCGGCAATGCTTTCACCAAGCAACATGCATGTGTTCAAATTATGGTTCAAGAATGCTAAAATTATAATCGACATTCGCGTCCATAGAGGCCCAAATCAGGCGAAATATAGCYACAATACTTTCACTTACCAAGAAATTTGGCTGCAAGCTTCGCACGTGGCTGTTTCCTCTGTAAACGGAGTTTATAACGCAGGTTAGAATCAAATCTCGGGGTAGGTTTTGCTATTGTTCGACAAAAGAGAAACAAATTGACTGCGTAGCCAAATACACTCAATGGACGAACCTTCAAGAAGCGACGCATCAAATTGACAAGCTTGATCTTGGGTTTTTATGGCTCTTTTCTGAATCGTTCTCGTATGCGTAGAGCCTTCTTCACTGGACGCCATCTTGCTCGTCAACTAAACAAGACGTCAATGACCACACCCGAAGTCTTGCGGCTGACGAAAATCTCCCTAGGGGGACTGGGCTAGTTATAATTAGCGTATCGTTTGGCCCCGCACAATGAAATTCTTGGCACCATAAGTCAGTAACTATGGAAACGGATCATACATGCGCCCATTGGTCGAGTTTAATGTAAAGTGTCAATAAAATATTTTTGTAAGGAGTGGTTACCATTGTTTTATAAAACCACGCCTGTCATCTAGCCGGTTGGGCGGTTCAAGTTTAAAACTAGAGATGCTATCCACCCATAATACCAAAGCGAAATGATTTCGCATTGCTGTTACGCCCCGAGTAATATAACTATAACTAAAAACATGCCAAATAGAACCGTAACTGATTGCATATTAATGTTTTGTTTATGCTTGAATAGAAAGAACAGAGATCTTTTGATAGAACCGAAGAAATTACAAACTGCCTCGCCCTCTGACCTGAGTAAAGCAACACACATTCTACACCGACGTTGCTGATTCATCCTTCTTCGAGCGAGTTTACGTGACGCCCATGAATTTAAACGACAGATACCTGCRTCTAAATGAGACTGTCGTAAGCTTGACTTTTTAATACCATGAAGGCTGACAAGAGTCATTTCTTTGTAGAGTATAAATAAAGCGAGCACTTTTCATGCTCTGCTGACAGTTGCTGAGCAATAAAATAAATATTTATACTTTTGTAGATGGTAAATGCTGTGTATCGGGATACTGCAATAGAGACTTTTTGACGTGGTATTCCAAGCAGTTACATTGATCTCGAAGGATTTCCGGTGAACTCGTGATCGCACCAGTAATATTTTGTTGTTCAGCGGGGTGATGGGTATAAATTGTTATCGCAATATGAGGTCCTTCTTTTGTTATCTACGTTATTTTCGTAGTGTGGGCCTAACCAGCCCATAATTAATGTCAGAAAACTAACGATAAAAAATATAATGACCAAAATTGGACAGAAAACGGTCCAAAATGTTAACATTTGGCTCTTTTACGGGCCCTTTTAAAGATAGCCAGTGCCGTTTGTATGCCAAGTAATTAAATTAACGGGCTCAAAAGAAAGAAAAAAAGACTATGAAAAAGCAAAAAGTAATATTTTCATACAATGAAATGCCCCTGTAGATGACTTACACGAATCTAGATCAGGTATTGGCTGGGATGTAACTTCATTACTGTCGCGGACTGATAGCTAGCGTGCAGAGTGGATATTTAAGCCATGTCATTAGCATACTACCCACGCATGTTAATTGTCGAAGTTGACTGTTGATAAAACAGCTCGGCTGTATATCTAACTAGCCAGGAGAAAGCGGACTGTACAAAGAAGTGAAACATAGCGCGTGTTTTTATTTTAGCCTATAGAAGGCCGATACTGAAAAGATTCAACGCCCATACGTAACTGTTTTCTGTTTGGCTTGATCTCCACCCTAAAAACAAAAGCATAATTAATGAATGCTTCTCTTGTTCCATGTAAAAAGCTTTTTTAATGTCTCCAAGCGACTGAGTATCTAAAATGAAACTAGTTTTCGCATTTAGCTTGTTACTTTCAAAACTATGGTATTTAAAAAGCTTAGATTCTGGTATAACATAAAGTGAACAAATTAAGCCTTTGGTATAATAGGTTTGGATGTCAACTATAGGTCAATCGATGGAAGGCGTCTCAGGCGCATTTAGCGTCGAGAGTAACTCGTGAGAGTTTATGTTGAACACTAAAAAACTGACTGTTCTTGATATACATTTGTTACAAAATAGTTTCGATAATATTTATATCAAAGAGAGTTATTTGAGCGCTGTCGAAATCTAGTCGAAGGAGCGATTTTTTTTCGGATATCTGAACTTCATACATTATGCGAAATTGCGAAATTCAAAAAATGAATTATGTCATTTGCATATTAAACGGAATCGCAGTTTAGTTTTAATATAGTAAGCGAAAAAACCAATGGTTATATATTTTACTAGCTATATGAAGAATTTATTTTGAATCTCTTGTACATGCATGTTCCCGATACTGATTTACGACATTCGCGCACAACTAATGATAATTAAATCATTTCTTTGGCGCACATCCTGGTTCCTTGGCGCCGCACAGGGATTGAAAATCAGCGCTATGCGCCAAGGACAACAGCGAAGAAAGAATATATACTTATAGTTGAACCTCTGGAAGTTCCTACAAYATGGGCATGGGTCGTCACATGTTGATATTTAGCCTTTTTTCGTTGTGATGCTAATATTTAAAGACAATTGCAAAATGAACATAGAAACAACAAATCAATTTTTTTTTTCAAACAATCATTTTACTAAAAACATACACTTCGTGCCCAGTTTGACTTAATGTTTTAGGCATAGCTTGTTGGAAATATCATCGTATCAAATACGCAAGAACCTTGAAAGTTATTTTTTTKATATGTATACTTGAGATAAAAAAATAGTATACGTTGTACCCTMCCGCCGGCCTTTTTGCCTTCTCAGTAGCGTTGCGGCCGCTTCATTCATCCGTGAAATGGCTTMTGGGGAAATCTTTTTCAAGCTATGCGGATGATTATTAAATGATCGTTATCCAGTGTGCCCATTCCTTGTTCCCGCGATCATTTCATTGCTATTTACGCTAGAGACACTTTGGAGTTCCTCTTGTTGGTTGTTTTTGGGATCCCTGTTTTGAGGAAGTCTACTACCACAGGTAACCCATAAATTWAAAAAAAACACAGTTCGAATTTAAAGCATACGTAAGGAAAGAGACTTATCTTTTAACGCAGCTAAAATTGGAGCGTAAATGTAATAAAGTACTGGATTTTGAAATGCACTTTGCAGAATACTTTTTTCAGTCTTTTTGCGTATACTGGATAGATGGATAGGGGAGGATCTAAGAAGGGGGCCTATGGGGCCAGTGTCCCCGCTTCTTGGAAATTCCTAAATTGTTTGTATATGTTGTTATCATGGTAAAATGTGACAAACATATTTTTACTGTGTTATGAAATAACGTAAGCAACAAAATACACAAATGGAAGTGTTTCATCTCTCAAGACCTCAACGGCCGCACAATCTACTGTGAGTACCCCTGGCTCCCAAATTCCACATTTCTGAATCCACTCAGACGTGACTTCAGAACCTTTTACGTCACTACTTGATTTTCAATCATTTTAGTTCTGTCCTAAACATGTCCTATAATGCATTTGTACATAAAACGTAAAAGCTTCAGAGGTCTATTGTCCTTTCCAAATTTCAAAAAGAGATTTGGAATGAGTAAGTCAGATATATAGTTCCACTTTATCGAAAACTGGACATCTTCAAATGCTAACCGTACTTCAATTAGTGTGCTTTTTCACGTTTTGAGCCTATTTGGTTGAATATTCTGCGAGATAATTTGTAATTTGGAAAAATAGAAGTAGTCCTTTGTACAACTTGGGAGACTGGATACACCACAGGAAAAAAATCCCGCACTTTAGAAGGTTGTAGATTAGATGTAAATAATATGATGTAATCGTCCAAAAGTGATATATAAACCATATAAACCATTTTCATCAAATTTACATCATTTTGGGCACTTAATCATATTTACATCACATTTACAACCTTTAAAGTGTGCGATTTTTTCCAGYGCACGTTCCATTAATTGGGATGTTGACGTGTAACCCATTAAAACATACAGTAACTTTACAAATTTGGTGTCGTCGATCAATCAATGGTGAACGATATGCAGCCTTTCAAGAAAAGATAGAATTCCCATACATTTCTTTGTAAAAAGAAGAATTTTTTAAAAGCTTTCGATTTTGTTATTTACAATGTTATCTTTCTAAAAATAATAGATAATAACTTCATATTGAGAATGGATGCAACATTTTCAAGTTGCTTTTCTGAAGAAGGAAATCCCGTGGGGATTGGGGGTACTCCCCTATATTTGCTATACGGGTATGTGCCACTCGATAGGGTCCCTCCAAGTCTGGGATAGGGTATCATTTTTTGCTCATTTGCCTGGGATAGGGTAGTCTTTTTGTCTGGGATAGGGTATAGTCTTATTGTCTGGGGTAGGGTGGAGTTTTGCCCTTGATCGTATCTGCTAGGACACGTTATAGTCAGCACTAAACAAATTTCCCTTTGTACCTTTAGTCTGTGGTAGGGTATGTAAAATATGTAAAATCACAAAAATTGTTCTGGGATATGGTAAGGATTTTGAGGGTCGTGCGGCACACCCCCACCCAAGTTATCTACTTTTACTGACTGTACTTGCTGTGGATCTTAACAACTTCTATAAATACTTTTGATTTTTGTCAATTTTCCACGCTGCCAAGAAAAAAGTAACGCAACATAAATAATATCGAAAATATTTATATGAGATGCCGAGTAAGTAAAAGTAGATTTTATTTAATATTTTTTCCAGAAATTCAACTGAATTGATACCTATTTGGCAAGTATATTTAGCTTGGGTTACCTGTGGTTAGGATATGTTTTTCCCAGATCCCCTGAGACATGAATGTAGCTTATGACAAAGGAACCCCATCTGGATTGCTTGCATACGGAAATGTATCACTGACGCAAACGAAGGTTGATGGTTTAGTATGAATGTAGACAAACAGTGGCGGACCTTGGGTAGTTGGATTCGCTGAAAACATCAACTACAGAAATGGAAAACTTGGTCCGYCATGAAATTAGGGATTTTTCTTCATTTCATACAAGTTCTCATGAGTTAAACTCTTTAAAGACTTAATTAGGTAATTATTGCTTTGAAATTTAGAATTAAGAGTTTCTTGTTTAAGTTTATAAGTTATAAAAGAAATGGAATAGCATTGAAAGTTACTTGTAGTTGTACTTATCGTGAGAAGAGTTACAATATGACATATTTTAAAATGAAGTGTATTACATCACGGAAATAGTTAGCTATTACGTAAGTCATGGTTAATAGCCTTATTGATAATTAACTATAATTATATCTATTATAGTCGTTAAATTCAGCATAAAGCATTATATCTTTGCGTTATGTCCGTTATTGTGTCATTGTCAGTCTAACAACAAATAACAAAGTTCACGGAAGTATAATAATACTAGGAACACACAACCAGCCAAACGCATGTGCAACAGCATGTAAATTCAAAGACGACGTGACTCATCGCGTTTTCTCTGGTGAAAAACATGTGCATTTRACATCATATCCCGTTGGGTAACGGGTGCTTGTGACGTCAGAGACAACAAAACGCGGAACAAGACAGCCACTTGCTACTATAGAGGAAATGATGTCACACGCGGTCATCTCACGAGTGGTTTCGTAATAACATTCACTTTTTAAATAGTTTGAAAAGCATATACCTGTTATGGTATTAAGTAATGAGTTTTCRGTTACGGTGTTTCTGTTCTTTACAGAACAAGTGACTCGTTAGTAGTGGACTATAACTGAGTGTCTGTATAATGCAACGTGTCGTAAGCTGTCCGTCCAGGAAAACATTGTACGAAGTGTTTCGTATCCGGCGAATTATGACGAATAGTAAATTTTTCCGGGAGCTAGCTATAGAATATTACAAAGTGTCAAAGTGCGCATGATGGTGMTGAATGGTCGGACGTTGTTGGAAACAGCATAATCGACCAGTGGCGATGTAAAAAAAAAAAAATGTTATGACAGTGTTCCGTTTCGGTGCATAGTTCTGTAGCTCGTCTGATTATCAATGAACTCTCAATTATAAACTTAGGTGACAGGAAATTGACCTTATTTGCGTGAAAGGAGAAATTGTAACAGCACCAATACACTATTTTTTGGTCAGGAAATGCGATAATAATTGGCATCTCAGTTTGAGGCTGACATGACTGTTTCCTTTTTCAGCAAAGTCGCTTGATTAATTACTGGTCGACGGGAAATAATTGATGACATTGCAATTTTGATCGATAATTCATCTAAGATTTCTCTAAAGTTATGACTTTTTCAGTTATATGATTGAAGAGATTTACCAAATTCATAATTCATAGTATGAGATTTAGCGTAATASTCTGAATGGGACCCCTGAAAGGGATGCAAGTTAGTGTATTCCCAATTTCACGCTTCGATGTTACTAAAAGTACTGGCTTCCTCTTATTTCTGTTATTTACATTAGTTGTTTATCATTATTTTTTTCTCCTTTATCCGGTGATCCCGTAGAGCTGCTAATGTGAAAGAGAAATGGCAGAAATGCTGAAACAGCTGAAGTACAGTACATCTTGTCCTCTCTCATTTATAAAGTATTCGTTTGAATGAACAAGCACAAAGAAAAGAGTCCTTCGTCACGCTGAAAGGGTTCGAAAACATAAACACAGAGACTGCATAGTCGATGTTTGTGCGATAGGCGAATTATAAACCCACACAATGATAATCACTGAAGCACTAAGAATGTAATAAACTACTTAAGTCACTGCCACAGTTTCAGCATCCCAGGACTTTTTTTCAAAACTATTCACACAAAGACCGCAAAACAAGATTATGAAAATTAAGTCTGGATGCTAACATTCCATATAATGCACAGACAAGGGTTCCCAGTATTATGACTGCCTTTAGTCAGTTATAATACTGATTCATTATTAYATTTTCTAAAGGTTTGCTATTGTTATGGAGATTATGTAGAGATATGATTTAATAAACTAGGAAATTACTAGACGGTCTGTTTCTTGGCACWAATTTATCAGCAAAGAACTACAAAATGTTTGTAAACCATTGATGACCATTGATACTAGATGTGTTTTTTGTGAGGCGAAAGTACACTCTCATCAATAGGAATTATTTTTTGCTAACAGAGGAAATGAAGTTTTTAACATAGACTGAATGTAAACAAAGCGGACTTAAAATAAATATTCACTGATATTGTAATGTTCTRTAAAATCACAAATATCGGATAAAAAGCARCTTTCAATGCAAAGTTTCMATCACTTTTTTGCTCCATACAACTTCCAACCCGTTTAACAATGTAAAACRTATTTTGAAAGTCAGTTATCGGGACTATCAGCTAGCCATCGATAACATCATCATATTGACATTTCGAGRGCATYGAAAATTGAAGTCTGAAGTGGTCACGAAAAACTTGTACAACTACAGACAGAACTCCAAAGTGATATCATGAAATATGATTTTTCATTTTATGTATAAAGCGTACTTTCTTTAATTGCTTTGTGTTAAATAGTTCATTGTCAATTAAAAAAACATAGTAAAATCTACTAATAATAAATAAATAATAAAAATGATATCATACAAATAGGGAAGGCTATAATCGGATGATTTTTCAGTATTGAATGATGACTAGAGTATAGGAATGCTTCGTTAAAGTCATACCCGACCATACTCTTTTAAAAACATTTTAATTTTACATTGAATGTTCTAAAGGTAGATTAACACACAAAAGAGTATAGCTTAACTTCTTTGCTATCAAAACAAAACCCTTTTATGAGCTACAATTAATCAAAATTGAACGTTTTTTAGTGTAGTCTGAGCTTGTCTGAAAATACCTGATATGCTGACCTTCTTTGTAGGGGCTGAGCTAACAAGAAAGTTTCATTGATAAACAAAATTTGATATGACGAAAAAAAAAACAGTATCTGTAGAACGTAACTATGCAAACGGACCCTGAAAAACTGAGAAGTAAAGTTTCTCCTTAGCTTTCGGTACGTTATTTCAAGTCTTCAATGCCTTGTTTTTCGTGCAACGGCGAATATAACACTTGGGATAAACCAAACCAGTTGACACAAAGTGTCATACGTAGGTAACCAAAGATGTCAGAGAGAGCCATGCAATCCATAGTTRTAAAGACTGGACGTGATTTGACGCAGAATAAAGAATGAAAACATTTGTCAGTTGTAACATTGTCATCTTTATTTCTTGCAATCCATATTGGAAAATAAAATATTACTGTAAATCGTATAAATATAATTTTATATATAATCTAGTATTTATTGAATAAAATACATCTTTTGACTTATTCTTTTTATCTTTTTTCAATGTAACCCAGATGAATGCTTCTTTATACAAAAATATTTACAATCTATAGAAAGTTCTTTGTAATCCTCACTGAACCGAACTAGAAATCAGCTCTGATGTAATAAATAAGTTCTCTGTTGCAATAAATCGTATTATCAAACACAAACAGTTCTTTTAGTCCTTCCTCAACATCAACATGAAATAAACAGAACTGTTTCTTCCATAGTTAATATTAACTATGATTTCTTCCACTAGTTTAAGTCWATGTTCATTGTTTAGTGAGAGTGTTGCGGTTGATGTCTCTTCATATGCAACGCTAGATGATCAGATCTTGCAAAAGCTCTGTCGCAGTGTTGACATTTGAATGGTTTATCTCCAGTGTGTTTTCTGTAATGCCTGGTTAACTCATCAGACCTTGCAAAACGCCATTCACATCCTTCCCAAGAGCATTTATACGGTTTTTCTCCTGTGTGTGTTCTCATATGAGCTTTCAAATGCGAACTCTTGGTGTAAACTTTCTTGCAGCCGGGATGATCACAATGGTGGATTCGCCTTCGTTGTAAGTCTGGCGAATTCCTTCGGTTGTTTGCGCCGTTCATAAGCAGTGCTTGCGGTGGTGTATACGGTGGTGGAGGACCAAGAGGATGAGTTAGAATAATTTGTGCTTGCTCTGGAGATCCTGGATTGGAGCTTGGCGGCGTTGGAGGAAAAATCACTGTATAGTCACTCGGTGGTGGAATGACTTTGATCTCTCGCGAAACGTTTGAAATATTGTATATATTATTTTGKTGAATTGTTTGCTGTATCATAGCAGATGTTGTAACAGGATAAGAGTCCTCCAGAGAACTCAGAAAAACTTTGTCACAAATAACATTGTCCTTTTCTTCCAAGTCGTCATCAAACGTAAAAAAATCGTTCACAACATTGGCGCTCTCTCGTCGAAATTTTCTTTTCCTCAGATTTGCCAGTTGAGGAATTATTGGCGATTGAGAACAGCAAAGATATTTATCCATTTCAAATCGAGTCTAAAAGAAAAAGATAAAACACATTTATATCAGTTTAATGATGAAACAGATCGGTTAATACTCGGCATGTTAAATTCAGCTGAAAACTCGAACTCAACTATTTTCTTTAGAAACGATAATAGTTCTGGGTAGTCGCGAAAAAACTGAATTGTTTGTTGTCTGACGTGAATGTGAAAATATTATTTAAATGGAATAGGCTCCTGTACATGTTYATGTTACAACCAAAACAGTTTACAGTAGAAAGTCAAATGAGCAGTCCAGGAGTCCATTTGGCAAGAACACGGCGAATTTGATTTCTGTCTGACAACAAGTTTTTCAGTTAATTTTGCCATTAACTKATTAATCGATAATAGTAAAACGAAAAGACACACAATTTGTATACAKTGACAACTCTGTTTGGAATCGGAGGTTAGTCCAACGATCGAGGAAAAAAAATATGGCGCGAAGTTACGATAAAAGAAGAGCTGTCACTTACTATTAAGTTGCTGCGAGTTTGAATATTAATGTAAAGGAATCTAAGGGTTACCTGTTGCCATTCCTCTGTTTGTGGGACAGCTAAAGTTGCTTTACTTTCTGGGGGAGCCATCGTTTGAATCGTAGATGAAATAAGTTGACAATCTGGAGTAACAGAACAGCCTCCTTCCAACACAGCCCTTGCGTTTTGAATTACCGGTACGGCTAGCGCCATATTTCGACATAAAATCCCTACCGATGACTAAAATAGTTGATGCTTTGAAAAACTATTGAGTAAACAACAGTTCGTAAACTTGATGTATCAGCTGTTCGCTGTTTCAGAGACTTTTCGCTAATAATCTACCAACTGCCGAACGGAGCGATCTTTATATGCACTCGCAAAACACAAGCATGATACTTATTGCCCATATAAGGCTAATATTAGGCGTGTATCGATAAAATGTTATTGTGATTTGACAAGAAACAAAAGTATTCCCATGGGACAATTTTTAACCAATCAAAACAGCAGATTCAAMAGATTATGACGTCAATGACATAGAGGTCAGAATGCTTGCTTTTCATTGGTCAGTTCTTCATTGATATTTCACTTAGTGATATAATCACTYTTATTCAATTCACTCGGAGTGAAGTTATTGTCCAGAGATGCTGTCGAACACAAAGCCGATTGAAACCCGAGAGTGATTCGGCTGACAGCTCATTTCCGGACTAGAAACTTCGGCTGCATTCCGTAGTATCATCGGAGACTCAATCGGATGGGTCATTATATCTGATTAGAATCTTCATCAGCACTTCGTGTGTGTCKGACCACTTATCTTCCTTGTTTGAAACTTCGCTTAGTTTTAAGGTTTTCGTTATCATTTTTATGAGTTTATCGGGGATTTTAAGTATAGAAGCTAGGACAATAACAATCCGAATATTACCAAATTCGGAAAGATAATATYGTTTCACTTGGTCAGTCATCTATTTTCAGTCTTGGACGAGGTCACATGTCAAACACGTGTCCAGAATATGATCAAAACAACCCAATGTAAACAGCGTCTCGGTGTGAGCAGCGTGAATCATATCTAAAGAGTTTCACAGTTTTTATAGACTCAGTAATGTACTTTTATCGTTCTTTGATRGGGTTTCATAGTTTTTTCCTAATAGCTAAAACCAGACGACTGTTAGTTGTATTTTCTCATTGCTTGATTGATTATGATCTATTTACAGTACAGAAATGTAACCTATCGCTCGGAAACGACAGAAAAATGTTAATCACCCACTGACCCAAGAACTTAATCCATGTTTAAATTTAGAATTTTCAAGATCGTCGAGTGATATTTGTGTGATCGGATCCACTCGGATGGTCGAGAGGTTAACGAAGGTGTGGCGACATCTGTCGTGCTGAACGATTGATGGCCGACAGATTCTCAGATAACCGCCGATGCGTCTCGGTTTTTAAGGGGGAGGCGTCGCCACAAGCTGTCAAAATGAGATTAGATACATCCGCTTTCACTTTAAGGGTCACTAGGTTTGCTTAATGACATCTAAACCTCCATGCGAGTTTGTTGTTGGATTTACAAATATAACTTGRTACAAAAGTTTGTGTTATAGCTTTGCACTGGTTTGGTATTTTCGTTTACAATGTTTGCATATTCTGTAATTTTTGTCCTACACCAGGTGTAATTTCAAGTCATACGATGAATATCATACTATAAAACTTTATTAAATTCCTACGCTRTGCTGTTTGTGTAGTGGAATTATTGTGTGATATTATAACATGAGTTTACAAGTAGTTCTTCGTTTATATTATGGTTGAATAAAATTGTGCAATTTGATYGGCTTAGAGTGGTATTTATCCTTAATAGTGGCATTTCAAAGTGCACAATTTTATTCAACAATTTTATAAACAAATAATAGCATGTTTTGTAGTGGAATTTGGGATAAATACCTCCTGTGATATTTCGAAATTGTCAGAAATTTTGTTTGACAATTTTGAAATATCACGCGTGGTCATATTTATCCCAAATACCACTACAAAACATGCTATTACCTATACATATTCTTCAATATAAAGAACAAAACTTTTTTTGCTGATTAAGCATAGTCTGAGTACGGATACCACATAACTTTTTCACGGAACTTAGGCCGGCAGCTAATAACAACACAMCTGTTGACACGCGAACAAATGCACTCAAGGATCCCATACTATTTTCTAGATGTGATTACCACGGAAGTACGTAACGCAACCACAAAAACCACAATCTCTCTCGAAGCTTTTGCGGAAGTGGCCTTACGGAGAGTCCGTACACGTCTGCCGTAGATTTATGAATTTCCTGTTAGTTGTTATTATCGTGACGTAAMCATTCCCATTTGAACGTTATTTTTATCWAGCCTTAACCGTAACGTCCGTAAGTCTTCACCGTTATATTTGTACAGTAGAGCTTCTGACAGGTTATTCACACCTCGATTAAGCTGCGGAATCATAAATATTATGGAGTCAGAAGATTATATCCGCTAGGAACCTATGACCTGATGACGGAGGAGCTCGATAAAAATTTGTTGTTGTATTTTTTTATAGAAATTATTTAAATTTCAGTAAGAAAGTGGACTRACTAAAATAGGAGTTCAAAAAGTTTAAAGACAAAGTTCGAAGTTTAAGATTTTAAGTGCTTGTTGAATAATTGTCTAATCAAATGTTACATGTAAAGGGAAGAGAAACGGAAGTGATTTGCGGGCGATTTGTTACAGTTTCATCTTTTAAACTGGTGTTATTTCCTTCAAGAAAAACTCTGAAACTAGAAAACTAATCGAGTTTAGTACTGACTGTAAGCTGCGTCTAGACTAATATATTGCTGTTATTTACCTATAATAAGAAATAGCCGAATTTTAATATCTATCTATCGCGAAAAAGAGCTGCCAATAACGCTCACAAACTTATAATCATGTAAAAAGATTTATAAAGGACAGAGCACTTTACATACTGTTTATGGCGCTAGGCAGTTTGTAAGGTTTCTGRTAACTAACAGGTTATGTTCTTGTTTATATGCTTTAGATTTACAATCAAAGGATTCAGCTCTGATGATTTAACTTGCTGACCTTGTTGAGTGAGCCAGACATCTGCTGCCAGCACTAATCATTCAYTCGAGRCTAATGGAATGTTGTTAATCCGAACCCAATCGGAAAATAACAATCGGAGTCTCATCGTGGGCGGGTCGAGTATTTTCGGCATGCTCCGACTCGTTTCGCCTGAATGCATTGACGTCAAAGGGCACTGACACTATTGTTCTTGTGGTTATTCGAAACCTGGGTGCGCCCGATTAGTATGTTCGGAATGTTCCGTAAGTAGTTCGTAAACAACGAAGTCGTGCCGAGGTCAACGCGACAGTATCGAATAGCGTCGGTGATGTGGATCAACATGTTTTTGATTGTGAATCTGTTTCTGTATCATTGATCTTTGCTGTGCAAGGTAAAATAATGATATTATTTATATATTGACTTTATTAGAGTAAACACAATTGGTTTAATTATTTCATTTCTTACGGTGATGTAAATTCTAGATTGAAGTCATCTTTGTGTTCAGTGCGGATATCCTTCTTAAACTTTTTTTTCTTAATTATGATGTAAGCGCTACTTCAACCTAAAAGTTATTTATTTTTGTCGAGCTTTTTTTTTCTTGTTACTGTAACATCCTTTAGCGAATATTTTGTTTCTAATGTGTAAAGTATATAATCCTAATGTAACTTACTATTTAAGGACCTGTCGAGAGTCTAGAGTGCACTAAAATCATTGACGCAAATTACAATACACTTGCAAGGACTCCAAACTGACAAAATTCATCTATCTGTCCACAGAATAATTCATCCAAATCCTTTCTCAAAAGAAACATTTACACAAAAACTTTCACGAGGCAGCTTTTAAGTGTTAATAATACGTTTAATTTCCTTTAATAGTTAGGATAAGCCAAGTGACTATGCGTGTATCAAATCATTCTCTTTTCATAAMTTAATATATCAGACAGAGGACTAAGTGAACTAGTTTTGATGAACAGGCCGAGCCTTATTCATTTTTCAGGCGCTTTTTCACAATCAAACATTTGCCATGGCCATCAAAGATAGCACAAAAATGTCCAAATTGTAAAAAAGTTTATRTTCCTTTCTTTATAAACTTCATAATTTAGCTGATTTAGCATATCTGACTTAGCGTCATTCTTACACCATATACACCTATTTCAAACAATGGCGAAATGCGATTGTCGAGGGGAGATTGCACGGCCGAAAGGGACTATKGTTATAATGTTTTGACAAAATTTCACTTATTGGATTCATATATTCCATAGAATTGAGACTTAATGGATACAATGTTTACCACAGACTATCTTACAGTATAAATCAGTTGTTATTTCTCATCAATTAGTGCAATCGCCGTCTGACATTCGCTATTTTATCCGACAACCTTTTTGAAATAGGCCGCATATGTTACAACGCGAGGCAAATAAAACAGAGTTTCTAAGTRTATAAATTGTTTCTTYAATTTTTCTGATTCATGYATGGAGTTTTGCTAAAGTGATTATCATTGTTATTGTAGTATTTCTGTCAAACGCTAACGCTTGTTCGATTTGGGTGTGTACAATAAATACTCTCAAGTACAATTTCAGTAAACAATCCAAAAACTTTTAATATTATATATATTTATGGATCTATAATTTACATTGCAAAGGAAAGTTTGAAAAAGCGACACTATTAGAGTTTCTTTACGTCTTCTCCATACTCAAGCGTTTTTCTAGCGTTCTTACATTGTCATCGTCTTGAAGGCAAACACATCAAATAAATGCTGAAACGATCTTAGCTGTTTTATCTCTCTAATCGACTTTCAACTCTTACACTTATTACTTGAGACTGTTTGTTTCAGTTGYAGTTGTGTATTTAACGTCACTGATACTARTCAAACAAAAGGAGTTTATTATTAGCAAACGGAGACATCAGCGCAAAACAAGAAAACAAAAACAAAATGGGGCAAAGCTGTTTGTTTCCAAAACCAAAAAARTATTTGCACAATATTTAGGTATTTTTAAATGTCGAATGTCCCATGCAAMATGATGGTATGGTTAGAAAAAAGAGAAATTTGCATTATCTTCGGCTACAAGAGGAAACAGGTTTTAGATTGCGGACATTCGCGTGTGAAAATGTGCAACTAAAAATCATTTAAAAACAGGCCTCATATTCAAATAAATATTCTACTTGAATCCTTCTCTAATGGCCGGTTATGCCAAGARTCTACCGTCATGCAATGATAGAAGTGTTGGTATATTTCACTGACAAAATATTTTTGAGAAACACAAATCTCGATTCTCTGTGAAGGACGATTTGACGTCATCGATCACGGTGTGTGCGTACATGGACAGCGGTCTAAATTTCAACACAAACTTTTTTCAGTTTGGCACGGCAGGATGCCTTGATTGAAATAATTATTTTAAAGAATTTTATAAAATCGTCTTGGAACATCAGTTACATAGATTTAAAAAAAAAAAAAAGCAACAGCAACAACACCACCTTACATGTAAAGGGATGATAATATTATCGTAGGTTTCGTTCGAAGACTCACAACTTTGTTGTCAGAAGACAAAACATATTATTGTTTTGATGCTTTTCTCTCTCGTCCTCTCGRGAATGACGTTCAGTTTGAGTGACGTTTTGATTATGTGCACTTTTTTGATTGACTCTCTCCCAAATCCCTTCTGATTCTGCTTGCTTGACCTTGAATCTTAGTTTTCCTTCTAGTCGTGGGTAAGAATTTCCCAAAATAACCGAGATAAAATTGATTAAGTTTCAGTCTTTAAATACCCTTGGATCATCAAATAAATTCTTTGCTGTCTAAAGGGCTTCATTGAGTGCTTCAGGGAAAAATGGTGATTGCTAGGTTAGGATTTTTTTAAAAATACGAGGCGATACCTAGTTTTGTTGAGCCCACGCCAAGGTGTTTAATAAACTGATCAAATACTAGTGCGAATGTTTAAAAAACTTCTCGAACTCATGGATAATTATAGAACGAAAGTTAGGTAAAAAAACCCGTCGCCGTAGTTGATTTTCCTTTGACAAAAGTTTTCCACACATGATTAATTATATTGTCAAAGTGAGGCCATGAAACAAAAGTTGACTATTATGTACGAGTCAATTCCAAAGGTGCCCATCCCCCCCCCCCGGGCGAACCCCCGGGCATTTGACTTTTTGGAAAAAAATTGGTCAAATTCCCCACCATATGGGCAAAATTGATAGTCAAATGCCCACAAGTAAAAGCAAATGAGTGGTCAAATGCCCGCCCCATAAGTCAGTTTTTCACGCTAGTTTTCGAGTGTTTTTGTTGCATTTTATATCGTGATTTCTCATCGTGAAAGTACAAAAGATCGAGAATGTTCCCAAAAATGATTGAAGCCTCGTGGCTGCTAATAGCGATCCGTGATCATGTGAAGCGCCTTTGAACTGTAAGGATATCGGCGCTATATAAATAATACGTATTATTATTATTATTAAAATGCTTAGGTTCCCGAGATATTTTAATTTTTAACTTAAGCTTAAAAGTTCGTATTGTGTCACGAAATAGCGCTTTCGCATCTGAATCGATAATTTCCAAGATGGTCGCCTACTCGTCAAATGCCCGCCCGTCTGCTCCTAAATCAGTCAAATTCCCCACTGTACGGAGGTAAAGTCGTGTCAAATGCCCGGGGTTTGCCCGGGGGGGGATGGGCACCTTTGGAATTGACTCATACATTAAAGTGTCATAGTCAAATAGACACAGAAGAAAACAAGAGATAGTCAACGATATTCAAATATACACAAAAGAAAACAAGAGCATACTAAGTTATATTGTATTGTTGCAATATCTATTTCATGTTCTTTTTTTGACATTACTTTGAAGACCGTTCGAAGGGCTTAAAACCAACCATATCAAAAGCAAGGTCAATGTCTGGTCAATATTGGATGATGACATTTGGCTAATCAACTGATTACAACAAATCGCTCGGTTTAAACACTTCATTTTATAAATATTTGACAATATTTAATACATTGTTAAAACATAAAATTATTCACTTTATAATATGTATATATTACTAAATGAAATCTGTACGCAGTAATATTACTACTAAACACACAAACATCGGTAATTTATATTACAAAATCTATCAAAAGCCTGTAAATCCCGCTGTAAATCTTAAAATGAAGTCATAAAAGATAACCGTCACGTGTTTTATTGTAAAAAAGAATCAAATGACTGCCTTGCTACATTAAAATAGACATTTATCTCCAAAAACCCAGTAGCTTTTTTTTGAGTGACCCAAGAATTGGGACGAGCGGTCCCCACTCAACAGATCCTGGGTTATCGAGAGACATTCAAAATTTCAAACTGCGACCTTAATTTTGTACAATCGAGAATTAATTGGAGACAATACATGTTGAATTATTACTAGTAACTAATTCGCTGATATGATACAACACACAATTCAACAATGCTTATCGCAATTTCCAATAACTCTGTTAAAAATATCTCCTCATTGACAAAGATTACTTTTTTTCGGGTCAATCAGATTGTTAAAAGCGAACGAAAAAAAATCTATTTACAATCAACAAATGATTAATTTGGCTCAGTCGAGWATTGATTCGGAACTGTCGAATTCAAATTATCCAAACGGCGAATTTCACATGTATCGGTAAGTCGCGTGAATTGTGCACGTGTCAAATACTACAAATGAACTGGGCCTAACGCTGGTGCCACAAGGAAAGCTGACAAAATAGGAAATCAAGATAAAATTGAAACAGGAGGAAATAGTCTCCATGTGGTGACAAGCAACATTTCAAAGTTAAACACTTCATACCGAGGTGGTCCTTCTTCCCCTTTTTTGACACACACTTCATTTCATTTGACACGGAAAAATTCGTTAAAACCAGAATATTAGCTGATGTGTGCGACAAGTATTCATTTCAATCTTGAAAACACCAAAAAAGATATATAACAGGTGATATGGTCTAAGGGTCCGTTCACATGGCATGGTTTTCCGGTTGATTGAGAAGTGACAACCTCTTTAAGTGATAAAAACAAAACATGGCCTAAAATTTCTGACTCTTTCCAAAAAGACCCYCGTAACAGGTCATGCCAGAATATGGAAATAGTGAATTCCAGAAAACCATAAAAATCGTTGATTTTTTTTTCTACAAAACAATCTTGCCAATAGCTTCAATGTGGGGTTTTCTGTTCCGCATAGTAGCACTCTCTTTTGAATTCAAAATGAACAATACCACAGAGCAGTAAAGAAAACCTTCTGACACCACTTCATTTTGTCCTCTTAGGATCCTTGTGGTATCATCTCTGCCTGGCAGTCATGTGAGAAGACAGGGATCCCAAGAGTACTAATAAGTAGAAATGAAAGGGAGAATCCCTCGCACATAAACAGACCCTAATGAATCTTGCTAGCCACAAGCTCTATCAATGAACTTCTGTGACTTTAGTACAATGTTGAATTTTATAGGTTTGTTRTTTTCAGGATATTGTCTTTTTACAACCATGAAACATCACATTCACATGGAGATTATAAACATCACTGTAGCTGAGATCTCAGCTTGTTTATGATCCTATAATCTGCCATATATGCAAGTTTTATCAATGTTGTACATGCCTACTTGCAAGAGTGCTGCCATATGAACTTTTCAACATAAGTATACACATAAGAAAATAAAAATGTTTTCATTTTCTTATGCTTGTGCTTCTGTTTCTGCTTGTGTTTTCCTGGTTCTTAAGTAGAAAAAGCCTATTCTCCTGTTTAAACTGTAGTGTGTACAATCTTAAGATGAGCTTTTTTGATTCTGCAATGAATTATTATTACCTTTCTTGGTAAATTACTAATATTCTCCCTTTTATGACAGCCTTTTTGTAATTAGGTGCAAATATAAAAGCACTTTTTTGTCCTTTTAGAACAAAATGAGGCTTTGAAATTATTTGATAGGCATTAATCATAATTGCCTATACTCACAGGTTAAAACACTTGGTGTCATATAAGACTACAAGCAATACTGCTGTATAACCCTGATTTACAATTAAATAACATACTGAAATGACAATAACAATTATATAAGATATCAATCAACAACAATAAGGTCATAAACCTAGTAACAAAAGATATTTCTTAATGGAATTTTGAATTGCCGGCTCTGAGGAAGAATTTTGTAAAACCTATCCTGATAATAAGTCAAATTTATGTAGGCTGTATTGATCACATCATGATAAAATGGTTCAGAATAGGTTTTCGTTAGTCCTATCTTCCACACAATATCGTATAGCTTACTGATACAATGGTTTATGTTTCTTTCTTTATGTTATGCTAATTTTACTTTCGTTCTTATTTCAGAACATTACATCAAGGACACTGGAAGATGTTGAAAAATTGAACCAAGTACTAACYAATCAGAGTGGACAACATATTGCTTGCAGTCTTATAATAATCAATTAAAATTACCAGTCCTTCTCCAATATATTTGACAGAAAGGACTAGTAACCACACATTACTGCTTTTCTTTCAAATGAAACACTCACAAATAAACCCTTCTAATAATAACTTGATAATCTATTAATAAAATCCACTGTCCTTGCCRTTGATAGGCCGCTGATGAGCATCACTTGGTTGAGTACACTTTTCACACAGTTCTTCATAAGTTTGTGAATTCAGGAGGCACACAAGAATGACAGTCATGTTATCGCAGCCCAATCCTCCCATCTGACAGTCAGGTGCTAGACACCGTGTTAACAGCTCCTCGCATATCTAACAACATAACATCATTATTAACAATTGTGAACGTCAAATATCTTGTCATGACATACATTGGATGATCAAACTTAATTTTTATTTTAAAGTAACTAACATACCTGCTCTGGTTCCATTCTCTGAGCTATTCTTGATCTAACAAAATCAACTACTTCTTGATTAGATAACACATCCCAAATACCTGCAGTAAAGAAAATGTGAKCAAAACATATGTAAGTGACTGATAGCCAGGCTTTTATCAAGAAGAAGAACTAAAAGAAAGTAGTTGCCCAATTGTCTCTTCCCTAAGATAAAACCCTTTAGTATAAACATACTAATGGTCTATCACTCATACTGCGCTGTGATTGGCTACTCTACTAATGGTCTAATTTGTGATAGACCACTCGCGGGAAAATCAAAATAAATAAATTATAAATTATTTTAAGGATATTACAATTTGTTTTCATTATTTGACCGATTAGTATGTTTATACTAAAACAATTAGACCTCTCGGCCTCGTGGACTACGAGCTAATAGCCCATTCGGCCTCGCGACTCGGCCTCATGGGCTATTAGCTCGTAGTCCACTCGACCTCGAGGTCTAATTGTTAAATAGAATAATCAATTTATTTTGAATGGTGAAGAAACGAATTTCTTAMAATTGTGAGAAAACTAGTTATATACTTTACAGCTTCTATGTATAACCTTACAGATGATTACTCGAGAAGCAATACAAACACTGGCATTTTTAATCTTATTTCTCTTTAAACTTTTCCAAACCCAACATTATGTTTATGTAAGACTAGGCTTGAAATAACGTCTGGACCTACACAGGACATAATGTTGCTCCAAACACTCTTTTGGAAGGTCATGATTAATTTTTAAAGATAGGGCTGGTAACTATGTCCGATTTGACAGGAAATTTTAGAGCAAATTTGGAAGGACATTGTCCTTTGACCTCCCCWTATTTCRAGCCCTGTAAGAGGATATAAACTCTACCACATCAAAAAATGTTTAATATCAAAGGCTTACCATCACATGCCAGAATTATAAACTCATAATCAGGGGTGATCTCTTTTGTTATTACATCTGGCATTGCTGAGGTGGAAKCAGGCAAATTTTCATTAGTAAATGGAAATAATTGTATAATAATCCATAGTTTTGAAGCAAATGAATGTTATGGATGGATGCAACTATGAGATAAAGGTAAATTGAAAAATTGAACAACTAAATGATCAAGACCACGACATTAAGAATGCTTCCAATAATTATTCACTAGTGCCGTACCTGTAACAATCTGTTCTTCAGGAGATTTTTTATCATTTCTTTTAAAACAAAAATCACCCAGTGCCCTGGACAGGGCTAGATTACCTGGATAATTAAATATTATGTTAATACCAACACTTGTTTATTTATGATTGATATCTTGGTAAGATTTGTGTGASAACTAGACTAAGGATATTAGTGTATTAATACTCAAGTATAACAGGACTACGGCATACCATTGACTCTGTTGAACTCTACCCAACCTCCAGCAGCTATTATTCTTCTGGTTTCTTCTAMAATAATAAATTAAACACAAAGTGTTTTTAAAATAAGCACTAATAACCAAAAATATTGTTGTAATATGACTAACAAACTCACAAGCCATTAGTCCCAATTCTGGTGACTATTTATTACTAATTATTATTACTAATTATTATTCACATGTACCTTCATTACTGGGTTTATGATCATATGAAAGCTGTTCTACTGCTCCTCTTCTACTGGCTATGCACCGTGAATCACCCACATTAGCCTGAAATGGAAAAATCAGATAGCTTATTAAAAAAGATTTTTTGGGATTCCTGTGCAATTGTAGCAGTTGGGATTCCTGTGTAAATACGATTTTTGGGATTCCTGTGTAAATGCGATTTTTGGGATTCCTGTGTAAATGCGATTTTTTGGGATTCCTGTGTCAAACTGGGAGGAAAGAATAAAAGAAAAGACTGAGAATGTTTACTAAAATCTACCTTGATAGAGACGATTGATAATATATTTGGTAGAGTGATGTATGTCCTAAAACACCATTTCATACTTACACAATAAACTTTATTGTTTTTTATAACCACAACATTAGCTGTTGTACCAGCCATCTCATCTTTCATTTGCTCATCTGAATGAAARAAAYCATAAGGATTATTGCACAGTGAACTGAAAGTTGGAGATTTAACATTTTCAAGGTTTTTATGCTTTTCCAATGTATACATGAAGAATTACTTTTTAAACAACAAGCATACCTTTAAGCATATCTACATCACAAGATAGAAATCCACTCTTTAGGGCCTCACTAACATTTCCTTTGCCTGTTGAATAATAATCAGAAAAAGAAACAAAAATCAAATGAAAGAGAAAATTATTTATTAAAACCTGGTTTGAGGTTTGCTTGAACATACCATAGCAAGTMACACCYACAGAAACTTACAAGATATTTTACTCTTGTTTGCACAAGGTGCTACACAAAGCATGGAATGATCATGAATTGAATGCATATTGACATTTAGCATCACCTACATTGTAGCATCTTTGTTTTCTTTCACATACTGTAATTATTTACATAGTGTTATGAATATACTYACTCCAAGCTGGTTGGGCAGTTATTTTATGCTGTAAAAATTTGCCAACATATTGTGCTACTCTTGCACCTGGAAGTACAGGTTTTTACATCATTATACTCAATAACAACAGTAAACATTTTCACAACAWAAATCATGCAGTTTTTTAAGGACAAGTGGATGAGTGAAATGAATACTTGATGTAAAATTTATATACATACTATAAAGCTTTATAAAAAATTACCTCCATGGCCATCATAAACACCAAAGAAGGCAGCTGATTTGTCCTCTTTCAAAGACAGAATCTCAGTGTGAGCATCCTCCATGTCTTTCTTAGAGTTAAGAGGTTTAACAGAAATCATCTACTGAAATCAATTTTATAATTCTCTATTTCCATCAGTATTCTAAAGCATCCTACAYAACCTACTGCATCACCTACTGGTATAATATTCAATTGTTTTGCACGTTATTCTACATGCACTCTATTCTTTTTTYCCCCAACTTTTTCCCAACTCTATTTCGTACTTTTTTTCAACTCTAGGCAATTTTCTTCTCCTATTTCATTCCACTGCATTCTTTTCATAGTATGCTATATCT